AAAAAAAAAATTTCTCAATGTTTTTTGTTTATTGTAATATTTTTATTAATGTTTTTGTTTTTTTTAATATTTTTATGTTTTTTTGTTTAATTTAATACATAATGAGTGATGGACTACATCTGCCTGCGCCTGTTATGTGCCATACGTATGGGTTGCTGTCGCTATAAGGTGGCCAAATCCCTCGTCACTCTCATGCACTGAATCGGGTAATGCCCCTTATGTATTAAAAAAAAAAAAATTTCTCAATGTTTTTTGTTTATTGTAATATTTTTATTAATGTTTTTGTTTCTTTTAATATTTTTATGTTTTTTTGTTTATTTTAATACATAATGAGTGATGGACTACATCTGCCTGCGCCTGTTATGTGTTGTTCTGCCCAACTGCATGGATGAGAGGCACAACCTGTAACAATCATGTCTACAGTATCGGGTGCTTGTTTATATTTTTGAATATATTTATTGTGTATATTGATAATATAAATTATATTAATCTACACAATAATATAGAAATTATCGATGAGGTGTCTCACTGTTGGGCAATTCCCCTAAGGTCTTCAAATCCCTCGTAATCACTTCTGTTCAACTCATAGAGTCACGAGCTGTGAAGATGGATACTGTGGTTGGACGAGGCAAAACATGTATGGGTGCCATGGAATCGGTCTTAGGTATCCAAATCCCTCGTCACCCATACGATGAACTGTTCTGACGGAATGCTTATTCGTATTCGGATGCTGTGGGATTTGCCTTGCATTCTCAAAGTCTCCAAATCCCTCGTCAATTCTACGATATAGGCGTTGCACTCTAAAGGTTACCTATAGCCTTGTCAATTTCAAACGCCATCCGTACGAGTAAGCATTCCCGTACACTTAACCACTTAATTCCATGTCTCGTACAGTGTGCTTGCTGGGTACGCTCCCAAGAGCGTAGGTGCTCGCGCAACGACGCTGGTACAGCGTGCAGCCTTTAGCGTGCAGGCTCCGAGTATACCGGCACAAGCAAGTATATGTTTCCTCTAAAACGTCTTAAATAGCTTTTCCTTAATTACATTTTTTTGAATTATTAATTTAAATAATAAGGGGAGACATAAAAAAGACCAACTTTTTACGACTCTGAAGTAGACTGGACACAGCGGGGAAAGTGGTTTGTACGGCGTGCTACTACAGCAGGAGCAGAACACAGATCTTAAGGAAAACTTGGTTAGTCTAATATTTATATTATTTAAATTTAAGGACAGAATGAACTTTTATTGATCTGTGAATGAACTTTTATTGATCTGAAGGTAAGAGTGCATGAGAGAAGACGGAAAAGATCAAGAGATACAGAGAATAATGCGAGGCGATAGCGGGCAACGAGACCGGCGTTGCGATGGGGGAGAAAAGTCACGAGAAATGGCTATTTTTTAACTTTCCGTAATTGAATTATTGGCTAATTGAATTAAAGAATTAATTGCAATTATTTGAATTCGTGAAACTTCAAGAAAAAAGCAAGCTCAAGAGAGGCCAGGAGGCCGGCTGTTGTTCTGTCGGTTTTTGTGTACCATTAGACCATCGAAGAAACGGTGTTGTTGATGCAACTTTATTACGAAATGTGGCGGGAAAAAGAGTTCATTAAAGGATTCATTTTTAACAAAACATATTTCATTAAAAATCGACAAAAAAGAACAGTGAGAAGCCGTCTACAAGCAGAAACCGCCAAACAACCGCCAGAACCTGGTCTGCCGGTACGCTAAAACTTTCATCTAGGTTTCTTCAGCCGATACTGTTTATCTTATTTCTTCTTTATTTTACCCGTGGCACTTAATGAACTATTTCTTTTTGAGTTTTTTTTCTTATATTATTATTATTAGAGGGAAATTTCCTTCATTTCCTCTGGGCTTTTTTCCGAACCATCATCATGCGGCGTTTCTGTTTCGCCGTACTTGCAGGCACGGCTGCCGCCGTGCCTGCACTCTTCACGGAGGCACAAGCCAGCGGCCAGACGTCATTTTGTGAGTGTTGTTGACTTCTATTCTTCTTTAGAAGATATTCTAAGGTTGGGAGAATATGAGGACAAGTATGTAATCTTTGTGTTTCTTTCCGCTTGTCCGCAGCGGCTGTCGACTGCTCGGAGCAGATGAACAAGGCAAGAGAACCTATGGGGTTTCCTAAGTTCACTACACTCAGTTCATCGGAATCTTCTTCTCTTAACACCGAATCCAATACTACTAAGCTTTGTGCCAGTATACGAGCGGTAAGGTTCTCGTTGTAACAACCCCCACCACAGCACAGCCATACACACACAGCAGCATATGAATCTTCTTCCTGTAGCCTTCTCCAATGTGCTCTAATATGCCTTTTTCTGAGGGTTCTTACTTTTACTTTGTTTACCCTGCTTTTTATGGCTTGTTCTTAAGCTTCGTTGTTGTTTCCTCCTGCTGTGTGTCTATTTTCTCTTTCATCTTCTAATTGTGTCTTCCGGTCTATTCATCTTTCCTCTACAGGCAAACAGCAGCAGCAGCTGCTGCTGCTATTCCTTATCATTTTGAATTGTTATCTTTCTTTCTATTTGTTTGGATTGTTGCAGGGTACAGATCCTGGTGTATGGCTAGCAGACACTACAGTTAATTTGTCTGTAGCAGCAGCAATTCAGGAGTCAGCCGATGGCGATTGTGAAGCAGCAACAAAGCAGTGGAAGGGAGCATTAAAAACAATAGGGGATTCTTTACCACCTGCCTATACACCAGGAAAGGATATATACGAAAGTCTTGATGTTGTATCCTTTATGAGTCTGTATACACCTAAAGAGGGAGTAGCCGTTACATGCACTGTCATACAATGCCCATACAAAAGCTCTTCAACAGGAAGCGGTTCTGGCCAGCAAGGGGGCAGCGGTGTCGACAGTGGTGAGCAGGACGGGGGTGACAGGGAGGAAAACGAACCCGAGGAGGTACCCGATGTGTCAGAGCCCGTTCCCAATGCGGCAAGCCCCTTGAATAGAACAAACGCCGACAGTTCAACACCAGTAACAGCATCAGCAGTAACAGCAGGAGTGGGAGGAGTACCAGCAGCAACAACAACAGCAAAACCATCTGCAGCAGGAGGGGGAGGAGTAAGGGGAGGAATGACAGTTCGTCGATTAGCTGATAGTGGAGGAGAAGAGCCTTTTAATGCTCTTGTTTGCCTATTCAAACCTCAAACACTCACCAAAGGAACTGCACCTTTCAAGTAAATAATCTACACTTGCTGTTGCTGCTGCTGTTGCTGTTGTTGTTGCTGTTGCTGCCGGTGTTGCTGTTGTTGTTGCTGTTGCTGCTGCTGTTCCTATTGCGGCCTGCTACAGCTGCTGCTCTAATTTCTGTTGGTGCTGCTGCTGCTGTTGCTGGATTTGCTGATATTGCTCTAGTTGTTGCTGCTGCGGTTGCTGTTCTGGCTTTACTGCTGTTATTGTTGCTTGCATGCACCAGCTGCTGCATATGCTGCTGCATGTACTGCTGCAGAGAGTTATTGCCGCTTGGCTTGTTTGTTTTTATGTTTATAGGGAGAGTGAATGGAAGACAGTTCTGGAGAACGGCGCCTCTTTCTCGTCTTCCTCTCCTTTCCTCCTTGCTGCTGCTGTACTCCTTGGTCTGCTGCTGCACTAATGCTCCCCCATATCGCCATTGCTGCTGCTGCAGCTGCTGCAACTGCGGACGTCCCAGCAGGTGGCTAAAGTCGAGCCACCTACCGAATTCCTTTTAACGGCAACCACAATCTGTTGACAAGAAGGAATTGCTGCTGCTGCAGAATGAGCAGCAGCAGCAGGAGGAACAGCAGGATAAGCAGGAGTCGTACGTACCCTGGGAGACTGGAGTGGAGGAAGAGAAGCCCCAACAATATATATACAACTTGACACCCAAACAGGAACTGCATATATTGCAGCAGATCTTCTTCATAGCAAAATACTAATGGTAAATATTGTATATATTAGGTATATATACATAACATATACATATATTGTATGTGTATATAATATACATTCAATAATAATAATAATAATAAAAATATTATTATTATTATTATTATATAATATTATTATAAAATAATAATAATAATAATAATATTATTATTATTATTATTATTATTATTATTATTATTATTATTATTATTATTATTATTATTATTATTATTGTGTGTTGTTCCGTCTGCATAGAGACAGCAGAAAGACGCCATGTAAAGGGGCGTTGATATTTTTTTTAGCTTCTTTGAAACTTTTTATTTATAATTGTTTAATTTTATTCATTTATGCTGCCCTTTCTTTCTTCTCATTCGTCCTTTTGTTATTTATTTCCTTCGTAGTCTCTAGTGTGTGCTATCATTGTTATTGACGCCTTTAGATTACTACTGGTATTACACATACTAAATATACTTGTCAGTAAGTATTAGTATTATATATAAACTACATTTATGAATGTTAATTTAGCCCATTTCTTGCATATTTCCTTCTTTATTTTTGCCACAGCAGTTAAAAAGTAAATGACTTTTTACAAAGGAAAAAAGGAGAAAGAAAACGAATTACACGCATGGATTACCTGCGTCTTCTTCCAATGAGAGTCTTAAGTATTTAATTGTACAAATTAAAGAAATAAACATATATATTGCTTATTTGTGTAAATGTTTCCCATTTTTGCAGATTTCTTGCCCATATGAAATATTGCTATCCCCCTACCTCCGCGAACCGTTCGTTATTGCCGTTGAATCTCTCTGCAGTGTATATGCACATTAGCAAACATACGCTTCCTTAAAAAAATTCTCTTTTTTTCTGTAATTCAGTAAAATGTAATTCAGAAAAAGTGATTTAAAGGGGGAAAATAGCAAAAAGACAAACAAATTAAAGTTGAAAAAAGAATTCATTAAACGGTGTATTTAAAATTAAACATTTTCTCATTAAAAACTATAATTGTTGAAAATTATTGAAAAAAGAATAATGAATTATTTGAGAAAATTAAACATTTTCTCATTAAAAACTAAACCCAAATTCAACAATGAGAAGACATGGAGAAACCGCCAAACAACCGCCATGATGATACTCTTCAGCTGCACGTACACTGGCACACAGATCACCACGGTCTCTTTAGCTCTATCGCCGATGATGTTCATCACGTTTCTTCTTTATTTGACCCGTGGCACTTAATGACCTATTTGTTTTAGCTTTTTTTCTTTAGTTTTATTATTCTGAGAAGGAAGTTTCCTTCGTTTCCCCTTGGAACCATCATCATGATGCGTTTCTGTATCGCAGTACTTGCAGGCACGGCCGCCGCCGTGCCTGCGCTCTTCACAGTTGCACAAACCGGCAGCCAGACGAAATTTTGTAAGCGTTTCTGAGATATGTTTTTCTTTGGAAAAGGTCCTGGGGTTTCGAGAGGATGAGGACAAATAGATATTCCTTGTGTTTCTCCCCTATTGTCCGCAGCGGCCGTCGACTGCTCGGAGCATATGAACAAGGAGAGAGAACCTATGGGCTTTCCTAAGTTTACTGTCCTAGATACATCGACCCCATCTCCTGAAGTTACAGCAGTCGATTCCACTCAGCTTTGTGCGAGTATAAAGGCGGTAAGATCCTCGTTGTAACAACACCGAGCACAGCACAGTCGCGCACTCCTGGCGGTCTACACTAGGAAGAGGAAAAACGGACACACCATTCTCTAGTGTTGCGTAGTATTCTTTTGTGTTTCATGTCTTTCTTTTTTCCTTATTTTTCCATGCCCTTTATTTGCATGCTCTTTAGCTTCCTTGTTGTCTCCTGCTGCTATCTTCTAAGGACGCCTTTCTGCGTGATGATGAGTTGTTGTTTGTTTTGTATTCCTCTTTTCGACTTCGAATTGTCTATTTTTATCTATTCCTCCTTCCTTCTTCTCTTCAACTACACGCAGACAGCAGTATCAGCATCCGCATCAGCGGCAGCTGCTTCTGATGCTCCAACTCCTACTCCTCATTCTGTACAACCCTCCCATTGTGTTTATTTGAATTGCTGCAGGGTACAGATCCAGGTTTATGGCTAGCAGACACTGGGTCTGACGTGACTATAGCAGCAGCAATTCAAACCTCAACCGATGGCGACTGTGCAGCAGCAACAAATCAGTGGAAGGGAGCATTAAAGACCATAGGAAAGTCCTTACCACCTGCCTATACACCCGGGAAGGACATATACAAAAGTCTGGATGCTGTATCGTTAATGAGTCTTTATACACCTAAAGACGGCGTGAAAGTCGCATGCACTGTCATACAATGCCCAGAAAAAAGCACTTCATCAGATGGCAGCCCCAGTGGTGACAGCAGCACCAACAGTCCGAGCCAACCACAAGTTCCAGGGGTTCCCCCAGTCGAAGGCACCGGTGGCGGCAGCAGTGGTGGTAACGGTGAGGATGATGGCGACGGTGAGAAGGATGAAGAAAATGGCAGGACGTTAAAGGAAGCAAATGCCGAGGGTTCAACACCAGTTACAGCATCAGCAGTAACAGCAGGAGTAGGAGGAGGGGCAGCACTACCAGCAGCAGCAATGGGAGAAGGAAGAGGAGGAGGAGTTAGGGGAGGAATGACAGTTCGTCGACTAGATGGAGAAGGAACACAAGAAGAGCCTTTTAATGCTCTTGTTTGTCTCTTCCACCCGAAGACACTCACGAAAGATACTCCTCCTTTCCAGTAAATTATAATCAACACTTGCTGCTGTTGTCGATGCTGCTGTTGCTGTTGCTGCTGCTGCTGTTGTTGGGGTTGCTGTTGCCAGCTCCAATTGTTGTGGTAATGCGTGGCGCTGCTACAGGTGTCATTGTAGTTGCAGTGGCTGTTTTGTGTTTGCTCCTAGTACTGTTGTTTGCATGTAGCAGCACTGCAGCAGCTGCTGCCGCAATTGCTTCGGCATTTACTGCTGTACAGAGTACTGTTGCTTAATTTGTTTATTTGTGTGCTTGTTTCTTAATAGGGAAAATGAGTGGAAGAAAGTTCTAGAGAACGGCGCCTCTTTCTCTCCGTCCTCTCCTTTCCTTCTTGTTGCAGCTGTACTCCTTGGTCTGCTGCTTCACTAAGGCACTGTCATCTTCCTGTCGTTGCTGCAGCTGCTGCAGCTGCTGCAGCTGCTGCATCTGCTGCAGCTGCGGAAGTGGCAGCAGCAGGTGGCTAGGGTTGGTCCACCTACCGAATTCTTATAGCCAGTAATTCTAGCTTATTTTTTGCTCTATTATTATTATTATTCTTTATGAAAATAATAAGATATATAGTAAATAAATGATTAGTAATAGTACAAATATAGACAACAACGAATTGCTGCACCAGCAGAGGGAGCAGGCTGAGCAGAAGGGGGAGGAGGAGCGGCAGCAGCACAAGGGGCAGGAAAAGAAGGATGGGCAGGGGGAGACGTACGTACATTAGGAGGCTGAAGGGAAGGAAGAGAAGCCGTAAGACGAAGTGTATGTACACTTATAATGACGTACTTCAATTACTTACCATACAGGTACTGCAGATGTTGCGGCTGATTTATTTAACAAAATACTAAAGGTGAATATTGAAGACATATATATGTACATAAGATGTACACATGCTATATGTGTACATAATATATTTTAAATAATAATAACAATATTAATATTATTATTAGTAAATGCGCTGCCATACGTATGGCAGCGCCACAGGGGGCGGGTTAACTTCTGTAAAATCATTATCATTGTTTGTTTTTATTTATTTACTTATTTTGTCCTTTCTTCATTCCTAGTTTTTCCTTTATAGTTTCTTATTTGTTTCCTTCGTAGTCTCTGTAGTGTATGTTATTGTTATTTACGCCTTTAGATCATCGTTAGTATTCCATATACTAAATATACTTACTAGTAAGTATTGGTATTATAAAGAAATTACATCTATTAATGGCAAAACATTTCCTTGCACATTTTCCTCTGTTAAAAGGAAATAAATCGCTATTAACAGAAGAAAGAAGAAAAAGAAGGGAATCAACTGCGTGCATTACCTCCGTCACCTTCCATTACAAGTTTCAAGTATTTTATTGTACAAATTGAAGAAATAAAATTAAAAAAAGATAATTCATATTTTTATAAACCCTTATTAGGTGAATTCTTTTCCTTTTTGCATATGTCTTGCCGTTGTTAGTTATTGTCTTTCGGTACTCAGTCGTTAGTTATTGGCGGTGTATTCTGTCTGGCTTGTACATGCAGATATACGCTCTATTCTAAAACACTCTTTTAAATCCATAATTTAATAAAATATAATTTTATATGGGGAAAAACCTCGAACAGGCAAACTTTAATGACTAGAAAAGCAGAGACACAACGGACCAAGTGGTGTGTATAGAGTCGTGTTACTCAAGCAGGCAGAGCACATAGTTATTGAGGAAAAATTGAATGTTGTACTGTTTCAAGTAGTTACATTTAAGAAAATAATGAATATTTATTGATTTGAGGGCAAAATAACAACGACAAAACAAGGAAAAGATCAGCAAATAGAGTGGATAACTAAACCCAACGGCGGCAATTAGACAGACGCCCGTAGCGAGGGGGGATGGCGAAATGTCACTTAAAATTGCATAATCTCTTGCTCTGATTTAATTGAATTTGAATTAAAATGTTAACTATTCGGTTTGTGAAACTTGAAGAACAACTCCAATACAAGAAAGCTCGGGAAGCCGGCTGCTGTTCGTTCGGCTCGTGTGTTTAAGAACATCGAAGAAATGGTGTGGTTGGTGAAACTTTAGTATCAAGCGAAATGGAAAAAAGGGTTCATTAAAGGATTTGTTTCTAACTAAACATTTTTGTATTAGAAAGATTACAAAAAACAACAATGGAAAGTCGTTTATTGGCAGAAACGGCCGATCAAACGGCGTGATGATCTGCCCAAACGCTCAAATTTTCACCTCGGTCTCTTCAGCCTTCCCGCCGGTGCAATTCACCGTTATCCTTCGTTATTTGACCTGCGACACTTAATGATCCATTTGCTTTTGAGTTTATTTCTTTAGTTTTACTATTCTAAGAAGGAAATTTCTTTGATTTTCCCCTGGGCTCTCTTTGAGCCAGCATCATGCGGCGTTTCTGTTTCGCCGTACTTGCAGGCACGGCTGCCGCCGTGCCTGCGCTCTTCACAGAGGCACAAGCCGACGCCAACAAGAAATTTTGTAAGCGTTTCTGACTTATGTTCTTCTTATGAAAAGGCGCTAAGTATGAGAGAAGATGAGGACAAGTATATATTCTTTGTGTTTCTTGCCTCTCTTCTGCAGCGGCCGTCGACTGCTCGGAGCAGATGAACAAGGAGAGAGAACCTATGGGATTTCCTAAGTTTACTGCCCTAGATACATCAAAACCGTCTTCTGCAATTACAGCAGTCAAAACGACTGAGCTTTGTGCTAGTATAAAAGCGGTACGATTTTCGTTGTATTACCCCCCGACGCAGCACAAGCCCGCACAGTTGGCGGTCTACCCTCGGGAGAAGTTAAACAAATACAGCAATCTCTAGTGTTGTGTAGTATTCTTTTGAGTTGCGTTTCTTTCCTTTTACTCATTTTCCGCTTCCCTTTATGGAATGCTGTCTAGCTTCTGCGTCGCTGTTTCCTGCTGCTTTCTTCCAAGGGCGGTGTTTCTGCGTTGTGAAGCGTCGTCGTTTGTTTTTTATTTCTTTTTCAACATTCAGTTGTGTCTTTCTATCCATTTATCCTTCCATCTTCTCTTCAACTTCAGGCAGGCAGCAGCAGTTGGTGCTGCTGATGATGGTGCTCCTGATATTACTTCTCCTCCTCATTCTGTTCCTTCTTCTTATTGTATTTGTTTGCGTTGCTGCAGGGTACGGATCCTGGTATATGGCTAACAACAACTGAGGCTGATGTGACTATAGCAGCAGCAATTCAAAGCTCAGAAACAGGCGATTGTGCAGCAGCAACAAAGCAATGGAAGGGAGCACTAAAGACAGTAGGAGATTCTTTACCACCTGCCTATGCACCCGGAAAAGACATATACGAAAGTCTGGATGTTGTATCGTTAATGAGTCTTTATACACCTAAAGATGGAGTAGCAGTCGCATGCACTGTCATACAATGCCCACAAAAAAGCCCTTCAGCAGATGGAAGCACCAGTGGTGACAGCAACACCAACACCGAACCGAGCAAACCCCAAGTCCCAACAGAACCTCCCGCCGACGGCAGCGGTGGCGGCAGCAGTGGTGGTAACGGTGAGGGTGGCGAAGAAGATTTAGAGAAGGAGAAGGGAAAAGGCGATGTATCGAAGCTACAACAAGCCGAGGGTTCAGCGCCAGTAACAGCATCAGCAGTAACAGCAGGAGCAGGAGGAGGGGCAGCAGTACCATCACCACCACCAGCAGCAGCAAGAGGAGGAGTTAGGGGAGGAATGACAATTCGTCGATTGGAAGAAGTAGAAACGGGGACACAAGGAGAGCCTTTTAATGCCCTTGTTTGTCTATTCACACCTAAAACACTTACTAAAGGAACTGCACCTTTCCAGTAAATTATACACTTGCTGCTGTTGCCGCTGCTGTTGTTGCTTGCTGCTGTTGTTGCTTGCTGCAGTTGTTGCTTGCTGCAGCTGTTCCTGCAATAGCTGGTGCTTCTGCAGCATCCATTGTTGTTGCGGCTGCTGTGCTGGGTTTGTTCTGCGTATTGTTGCTTGCATGCAATAGCTGTTGCCGCTGCAGTTGTTGCTGTAGAGAGTTATTGCCGCTTAATTTGCGTTTGCCTGTTTTCTGTATTTAATTATTTATAGGGAAGGTGAATGGAAGAAAGTTCTAGAGAACGGCACTTCATTCTCTTCTTCCTCTCCTTTCCTTCTTGCTGCTGCTTTACTCCTTGGTCTGCTGCTGCACTAATGCACTGTCATCTCGCCGTTACTGCAGCAGCTGCTGCATCTGCTGCAGCCGTGGAAGTGGCAGCAGCGAGTGGCTAAAGTCGAGCCACCTAGCGAATTTTTAATTGCAGGGACTATAAATTAAAATAGACAAGAAGGAATTGCTGCAGCAGGAGGAGGAACAGCAGGAGGAGCAACAGAATGAGCAGCAACACGAGGAGCCACATAATGAGGAGTACCAGCAAGACCAACAATCCAAGCAGCAGAATGAGCAGCAGCAGGATTAGCAGCAGGAGACTTACGTACACTGGGAAGCTGGAGTAAAGGAAAACAAGAGGAGGTGTATGCACACTTAAAATGAAGTCTTTTAATCCGATTTTCTACAAACATCAATCAATACGTCAGTATCTGTGCATATATACGTGCATATATGCAGATATACTGCCGCAATAGATGCGGCAGAGAGATGCCAGAGGAGGAGGCGTTGTTATTTCAACTTCCTCATCTTTTTTTATTATTTTCCTTTTTTCCTTAGTCTGTTCCCTTTATAGTCTCTTACTGATTTCATTCTTAGTCTGTCTTAGTAGTCTATGATACTTTTGATTTCCGCCATGGCAGGTAAAAGAAAATAAATGGGTGTAACTGTACAACTTTACAATAAAACAATAAATTACTTTATAATTTTATACAAAATAATTATTAAATAAACTCTTTTCCCTTTTACATATGTCTCTCCCCTACGAATTATTGTCTGTGGCGATTGCCGCTAATCGGTCGTTTTTGGCGATGTACTCTGTGTGGAGTGTACTTGACCCCAAAAAATAGGCTCCTCCTCTTCAAACTCGTTTTTAAGCTAGTAATTCAACGGAATATAATTTAGATGAAGTGATTTAAAGGTGGAAAAAACACGAAAAGACAAACTGTTCCGACTCTTATAGGAGGGACACACCGGGCAAACGTGGTGTGCATTGAGTCTTGCATTTATAGTAGCAGGAGCAGCGGACAGTTCTTAGGGGGAAATTGAATATTCTAACATTTAAATTACTTAAATTTAAGGAATGAATACTCTTTTATTAATCTGAAGGTAAAAAACGCATGAGACAAAACAAATGCAGCGGATAATGCGACGCGTAACGTCGGCAGGAGTCGGGCGTTATGAGTGTGCGGGGGAGAGGGGCCGAAAAGCATATGAAATACCAGTCTTTGAATTCTTCTAAATTGAATTTGAATTTAAAAATGTTTTTGCAACTATTTGAATTTGTGAAACTTGAAGAAAAACCCAAATTCAACGGAGGTCGAGAGGTCAGTTGTTGTTCGGTCGGATTGTGTGCATTACAACATCGAAGAGACGGGGTTGTTGATGCAACATAATCATCAAATGAAGCGAAAAAGGTGCTCGTTAGAAGGTTTACTTCTAATTAAACATTTTTTCATTAAAAACTCGACAAAGGGACAGCATTCAGAAGCCATTTACACTCAAAACCCACCAAACAACATCCCTGATGATCCTCTTGGAACTGCACGTTCACTCTAATTTTCACCTAGGTCTATTCAGCCTTCTCGCCGATTCCGTTCATCCTCGTTTGTCTTCGTTATTTGACTTGTAGCGCTAAATGACCTATTTGTGTTTGTTTTTTTTTCTTTCATTTTATTATTTTTAGAAGGAAGTTCCCTCCATTTTCCCCTAGGTTTTCTTTGGGACAGCATCATGCGTCGTTTCTGTTTCGCAGTTCTTGCAGGCACAGCTGCAGCCGTGCCTGCGCTGTTCACAGAGGCATCAGCCGGCACCCAGAAGCCATTTTGTGAGTGTTTCTGAATTATGTTCTTCTTTTCAAAGGGTTCTAGGGCTACGAGAAGATGAGGACAAATAGATATTCGTTGTGTTTCTTTCCGCTTGTCCGCAGCGGCCGTCGACTGCTCGGAGCAGATGAACAAGGAGAGAGAAACTATGGGGTTTCCTAAGTTCACTACGTTGAGCTCATCGAAGCCTGTTCCTGGGGAGGCTGAGGTCAATAACACTAAGCTTTGTGCGAGTATAAAAGCGGTAAGGCTCTCGTTGCAAAACCCCCCTCCACAGCAGAGCCGTGTATATATATATATATATA